TGCCCAAGATCCCGAGAGAATGGGGGAGAAGGGATTGCGGTGTGGCCATCCCCCCTGGTGGGTGATTTCTCACTTTCTGTCTCTCTCTGTCTCTGTTTGGCTAGTGCACGCACCCTATAGCAAAAACCTCTCCAAAAAAAAAAAAAAAGAAGAGTTTTGAAACCAGAAGGGCTGGCCTACATGGCAACTGTGCAATTTGGATCCTGGCTCTGGTGTCCTGAAAATCACTCCAGATGCGTGAACATGTGTGCCCCAAGTCCTGACCTAATGGGGAAATGTAGAGGGCATTGCAGGGTGACCACGTCCCATTGGGCCCTCTCCTTGTCTCTGTCTCACGAGGGTATGTGTCCTCTGGCCAATTAAAAGAACAACCTGTTTATAAGCAGGAGAGCCAGATGGACTGGCAGAAGTTTGGCTGCCCACAGTTGGCAGGTTTGGTGCTCAGATCCCTCTGGTCCACACTCCCCTGCCCAGGGCCACCACCACAGCACCACCCACCACACAGGCCCCCGTCTTTGGCCAGTGCAGCTCATTCTCCCTCTGTGACCTCTCCCGGGCTCAGCCCATGAGGATGGAGGGGAACATGTCTGTCCTAGTAGCCCCTGTCCCCAAGAAGCTGGCCACCGTGGTCTGCAATACTCTCCTTGGTAACAGCTGGCTGTGGGTGCCAGGTGTGCAGTCAGGCCCTTCCAAGGACTGGAGGGACCCCCTTCTGCACTTTGCACAGGCCCAGCCACGGTCAGGGAGGGTGTCGAAACACGGAGAGCCTCTCGTATGCTCCATGCACCTTGGGCCCTCAGAGGGGCTCTATTTGGATGGGAGACCCTTTCCATTGCTGCCCTCTCCCTTTCAGACATGGTCACCCTGGACTCTGGGCTCCCCTTGCCAGCAGTGGCTGCCCAGGGCTTAGCCCTGGTCCCTGACTGAAGGCCTCACTGGGGAGAGCCTTGGCTCTCTGTGAGTCCTTGGTCTGCAAATCTGGTGCCATCACGGACCTAACGGGTCCTAACCGGTTCTGCCCACCTCTCTCCCCAGCTCAGCTTGGGCAGCCTTCCCTGTGCCACTGATGGCAAGGCTCTCCCACCTGGATTTTCTGGCCCTCAGATCCATTCCCACGTGGGGAGGAAAACAGGCTTGGACCCTGGCTCTGAAGCAGGGCTGCCACCGTGGGGTCACAGCAGCCTCTCAGGCAGTCTCCGCGGTCGGTGCCTCTGGGCCCCAGGTTGGTGCAAACTGGCAGACTCCGGTAAGGATGTAAAGTGTCCTCTGCAGAGTTGGCGGCTTCCTGTGTGGATGCTGGGTAGGAGATAAGTGTGATGCTGGCTGCTGCCAACTTCCAGGTGCCCTTAAGCAAGTCCTGGCCCTCTCCGCATCCCCAGTCCTTGTCTGCAAGTTGAGGAAACTCCAGTTCCCCTGACAGTGCCTGGCCTGTGGTGCCTGGCCTGGAGACACTTGGGGCGGTGTGCTGCGTGGCGCCAGATTTAAGTCACTTCCTGTCATGCCTCCTGGCCATCCGTCCCACGGCCAGGCCCCGCTCTCTTGCTGTCAGGCGGGTAGACTGGCCAGGAAACTGTCATGGGTGGCAAGGGAGGAGTGTCGCCCTAGGACGGAGTCCAGGGCCGGGTCGGCCTCCCAGGTGAAAATTGTAAGGACGAAGGAACCGCCGAAACGTAGTTACTGTCGGAACTCCCGGCTGTCCCCTTAGGGCGCCCAGCGAGGCACCTGGTCCGCGCCCCCGCCGGCGAGCTCGAGCCGGCGCGCTGCATCTCGGGGGGTGCCGTG